AGTGTCACTGGCCCTCATATGTGGGATCCAAACTGGGGCCCTCTGGCGTCCCAAGCCAGCTCTTAACCAACGCGCCACTCGGCCAGCCCTGCCTGCTCTCTTGAAATACGTATACTTCCTGGACCCCAGACCATTAACCATGATCAGAACTGGGGTGGCATAAACTCCTTCTCTATGAACTTTCATAGTCCTTTCCTTTCCTTAGATACTCGGTACAAACTGGAGGGCCACACTGTTCTCTATATCCCCGCGGAGGCCATGAACATGAAGCCCGAGGCGGTGTTTAAGGACAAAGAGCTGGTGCAGCGGCTAGAGAGTGAGTGGCTGGCATTGCCATTGTGTCGGGGATTCTAAGGGAGAGGAAAGGGGACAGCCCAGATGCTGAGAAAGAAGTTGGGTTAGGAGGGCAGAGGAAAGGACACACTAGGGAGTAAAGAAATGAAGAGATTTTGCATTCTCTCGTGCAGCCTCCATGATCCATTGGACCCGGCAGATAAAGGAGGTGCTCAGTGCCCAGGAGTCTGTGGATACAGGAGAAAATTTAGGTCCTTTGGAGGAGATTGAGTTCTGGCGCAACCGATGCATGGACCTATCGGGCATCAGTACACAGCTGGTGAAGGAAGGAGTGAAACACATTGAGTCCATCCTGCGCCTTGCCAAGTCGTCCTACTTGGCACCCTTTATGAAACTGGCTCAGCAGATCCAGGTGTGTGAGTGCCTAGAAGGAAGGAGGCTTAACAGAAAGTGGACAGTGATTGGAACAATATAGGGAGCTAAGAAGAGGGATCCAATATAATCAACAGTGAAGATAGATCCACCCAATGATTGGACCAGTACTGGTGGGAGAGAATAAAGTAGTAGAACATAAAGTCCCAACAAGCTTATAGTTTAGTTAGGGAGTCAACTAGTTAATCAACAAATATACATTGAGTACCCTCTATGAGCTCAACCCAGCTGAGAAAATAAGACGTACACAAAATAGGATTACTAGATGTCATGGGATCAGAGAGGAACCCATGTGGTTCAGCTAAGAGGGTTGCAGGATAAACACTTAAAAAATAAATTTGATATAGTATGACAAGCTGATTATGTTATTGTTGGAGACACAGAAGATCAGTGATCTGTAGAATACAGAGATAGATGACTTCTCTCCCTAGGTGGAATTTTAAGCTAGGTATTGGAATTGAGGCACAGCTAGGTAAAAAGTCTAAAACCTTAGTTGAATACAGGGCAGTGAAGGGAGCTATGGTGAAAACTATGGGGATGAATGGGAGTGATGCCCAGTTAGTTGATCAACAGCTGTTGAGTACTACTTTGTGCAGAATGCTGAGTTCAACTGGAGAAACTAGGGGAATAGACACAAAACCTGAGCTTGGGTAACCCCCAGTCTAGTCGGGGAGATGGGACTCACACATGAGAAAAGACATAAAAATACTTTCGTAGAAACTAGTAAATGAATAAAAGTTGATATGTGTAAACTGTGATCCTGGGGGGCTACGGAGACCTGAAATGATTGGTAGCAGGTAGGACTGGGTTAATTGGGAATACTTCTCAATGGAGGCAAGACAGGTTGGGGTTCAAGATGAATAAAGATCACTCACTTTGAACCAGTTCTTTTCAGTGGATAAGTTTACTCCTGATCTCTCTTTATTGCCAGGATGGTTCTTGTCAAGCGCAGTCGAACCTGACTTTTCTGTCAATCCTGAAGGAACCTTATCAGGAATTGGCCTTCATGAGGCCTAAGGACATCCCTAATAAGCTTCCTAAGTTGATCAGTCTCATCCGCATCATCTGGGTCAACTCTCCCCACTACAACACTCGGGAGAGACTGACCTCCCTCTTCCGAAAGGTGTGTGTCTGCAGAGGGTGGGGCAGTGGGTTTTTAGAGGGTGGCCACATTGACAGAACCCAGATATTCTAAAGAAGGTAGAATTCTCTCAGCAGAAGGTCTGTGGTGAAAAAGCAGTGAGGAGCACCCCTTGGGTCAGACAGAGACCAAAGGTTCCTGCCTGCATTGTCAACGTTAGTGATGCTCAGAGTTGGGCTCTGGGCTGGGCATTTTTCCAGATGGAAGTAGCCTAGGTGGGAGGAGGGGCTTTGAGAAGAGTTGATGGAGTGTGGGGAGGGAGGCAGGAATGACAGACTCCCAGGCTGAGTTGTACAGAAGGGAAAGACTGTCTCATTTCCGAAGATGGAAATTGCAGTGGGTGAGAGGTAGAGTTAGGAAGGAACATTGACTTTTGAGGAGCAGGACCTGGCACATTTCAAATGGGGTGACAGAGCCCACATGTGGGAGAAAGGGCACTGAGCTGAGCTCACTGGCAAGTGCAGGTGCAAGCTGGGCTGAAGCAGGGAGGGAGGTGGAACCCAGAGGGGCTGCCCGCCAGAAGTGGAGAACCAGGGTCTGGCGGATATCAAGAGTCAAATCAAGAAGTAGGAGGCTGAGACCTGAGGCATGGTCAGGAAGATTCAGAAAAGGGGGTGGGTGCAACTAAAGCTGTGAATTGAGGCTGTCGGGACCCCTTCTGCAGATGAGCAATGAGATCATCCGCTTATGCTGTCATGCCATCTCCCTGGACCGAATCTTTGAGGGACATGTTTCTTCTAGCAAGGAGGACCTACAAGGCTGCATTTCCTGTTGTCATGCCTGGAAAGATCACTACCTGCAGGCTGTGCAGATGCATACCCAGTACGATGTGTCTCCCAGTGTCCCATATATTATCCCCTTGTCATTTCTATAGATAGTAGATTCTGACTCCTTTCACTTTCACTTTATTTTGTAAGCCTATGGATTATATTTTTCTAGACCTAGGAGTTTCTATACGGGTCTGAGTTTTCTCCCTGGATACAGATGTTCTAGCTCCTAGCCCTAGGTTTTCTTCACTCTAATAACTTCTCCCTGATTCCAGGAGTCCTTCCTGGTCTTTTCCTCCTTTCTTGGCCCTAAAGTCTGAAAGTCCATTATGTATAAACCTCCTAGAACTGAGATACTTTGTCTCTTCCCCTTGTGTTTCCTGTCTCAGGATTCAGGAAAACCACTTCTTGGGGTCTCATTTTCTAAGGCTCCCCCTGAATCAAGGGCACCAGTTCTAGCTTTGCATAGGCAGATTGACACATGGTGTTCCTGCTTTTTGATTCCGTCCATATTTCTCCTAACACAGGTTCTCCAGTCGGGGCTGGGTCCTAGACCAGACCAGCATATTTGCTCAGGTTGATGCTTTTGTGCAGCGCTGCAAGGACCTGATTGAGGTGGGAAGACTGTCAGGGAAGGAGAATCAAAGGCAACACCAGATGCTCCAGAATCCCCATCCAGGAGTGGGGGAGCTGGGGCAGAGGCTAAACATAGAACTTACCTTTTTGGCACGTCCTGTGTCACTGTGTAACCTACCACCATCCTGTTATTTTAGACTTTGCTTATTATCATTGCCTTAGCATGTCATATTCCATTCTGCAGCCAAAATTCATCCTATTAGGCTCTTGCATCTGGTTGGTCCTCCCTAGTTTTTAGACATTTTAAGCTACACCAAAGAGCTCAGGACTTACAAGTTCAGAAGAGAGAGCAGGAATTCTCACACTGACTTCTTTTTAGGTATGTGACTGTCAGTACCATTTTGCCCGCTGGGAATATGGCAAGCAAGGCCCCCTTCCTTGCTTCTTTGGTGCCCAGGGGCCCCAGGTAACACGGAACTTGCTGGAGATTGAAGACATCTTTCATAAAAATCTGCACATGCTGCGAGCTGTTCACGGGGGCATCCTGGATGTCAAGAACACTTCTTGGCATGAAGACTACAATCGGTGAGAACCACAGGCAGACTTGGGTAGAGCAGGGAAGGGAGGTCAGGTGAGAGTGTACAAAGGACAGTGTGGAGGTGACAGATCAGAGGTGGACAGGAGAGAGTACAAGGAATGAGGTAGCTGCTCAGTTGAAGAGTTCCAGAGTTAGCCTTTCAGGGCTTGAATCCTGGCTCTGCCACATACTAGATATGTGACTGGGCAAATTATTCTACCAGTTAGAGCCTCTGTTTCCTCATCTATGAAATAAGGTTAGTAATAGAATCTATCTCACTGCCTTGTTTCAAGGAATAAATGCATTAATGCATGTAAAGCACTTAGTCAGTGCCTGGCACATAGGAGGCCCTCAGTACATAACACAGGATTCTTAGGGCATGGACTTGGGGGCTGGTGAGGGCACCCACCCTTCACCATGCCTCTCTAATGGTGCAGGTTTCGTGCTGGAGTCAAGGACCTGGAGGTGATGACTCAGAACCTAATTACCTCTGCCTTCGAGTTAGTGCGAGACGTGGAGCATGGTGTGCTGCTGCTGGACACCTTCCACAGGCTTGCAGCCCGTGAGGTGCTGTTGTCCCACCTGCTTCCTCCACCCCTCATTCTCCTGTGCTTTCCTTCAGTGTCTCCTGAGCCTTCCAGACACCATCCTGCCTCCATTCATGCTCTTTCTCCTGCCCTAAATTGCCAGGGCCTCTTTTCTTCCTTCTGTTCCCCTGATTTCCAGATCACTAAGAAGTATGACTCCCACAACAGGGTGTAACTTTCCTATTGGATGAGTAACTGGAGGAACCCGCTTCCTTAGGGCATGTTGTCAAGTTCTTTCTCTTTTTCCTTAGGCTATCAAGCGAACATATGACAAGAAGGCCGTGGATCTCTACATGTTGTTTAATAGTGAATTGGCCCTCGTGAACCGTGAACTGATCAAGAAATGGCCATACCTGGAACCCTACATGGCCCAGTATTCTGGACAGGCACACTGGGTGCGGATCCTACGGCGTCGCATTGACAGAGTCATGAATGTAAGCACCTGGCCTTTTCCAAAACTTGACCTCAGTGAGATGGTAGAGCTTGCAGGCTGTGCCACATGCTGGGAGGGATGGGGGACCTGTCCAGAGTTCTCCTAGAGAGTTTTCATGACCAGAGAGTAAGTCTGCCCAGGGGAGTGGCAGATGCAGCTCTGCAGTGGGGCAGGCCATGGCCTTGGATTTGCAATGACAGCGAGTGTGTGGTAGAATGTGGGTTGTTTTAGGTATTTCATATCAGAGTGAAGAGGAGGTATAGGGTCAGCATCTGTGAAGCTGTGTCACCAGGAGAGTAATACAAACTCACAATTCAGAAAACTGGACAGGTGAGGACCTT